TCATCATCATCATCATCATCATCATCATCATCATCATCATCATCATCCAATTGCTGTGCAGCAGACCTGCCCTTGGCATCTTTCCTGACCTCTGGAACCTGGAAGTTGGGGCATGAAAAGAGGCAGTGGTAGCAGGATGAAGGCTTTAGAGGGTGGATATTGAGCCTTGGGAGTTGGTTGGCTGCTATCCTTTGGTCTCAAAGAGGACTAAAATGTGTCCACTATGTGTCAGATTGTGGCTGATCAGGCCAATATGAGCTCAGGAACTGGAGAGGATACGGATAGAATAGATAGGGAGCACTGAGTTATGGGGGAGGGGGAATCAGGAGGAGGAAGAAGAAGAGAAAGAAACCAGAAGGAGGGTAAATGTGGGTGGGAGGTGAGAAATGGTTGGGAGAGTCACGTGGAGCGGAGAGAGAGACACAGAAGACAGAAATGGGTGAAAGCCCCTTGGCCTCTTTCACCGTTTCCTTGCGAGCCAGTCCCTCTGCTTCGTCTCTAGGATATACCCAAATGATCCAAATGTTCCTCTCACTTTGCGCTTCTCCTTTAATTTTTTAGTCTGCACATGGCCATCCCAGAATACTGTAATTCATTCTAAACCCTGGATCAGAAGACAAGGTGAAGGTATGAGAGAAATTAATGTTATACTTTTATATTAATAAGCAATTATTCATCGTTATCAACCCTTTCCCCTTCTATTTCCTGTAAAGGCCTAACTTCTGTTAAGGTCAGACAGACTCTACAAAGCATGGCTAGTTGATGAGATTTTTCCTAGCCCTCAAGGCACATACTCCTCAATTTTGGGTGCCACCCAACTTTTAAGGGACCCCACTCAACTATGAGGTCTAATTTCTTTTTTTTTTCCTTTTTAGGCAATTGGGGTTAAGCGACTTGCCCAGGGTCACACAGCTAGTAAGTGTCAAGTGTTTGGTCTGAGGCCAGATTTGAACGCAGGTCCTCCTGATTTCAGGGCTGGTGCTCTATCCACTGTACCACCTAGCTGCCCCCTGAGGCCTAATTTCTGTTGAGCATAAATATAATCTAGTCTGGGTGAGCCCTTACCCAGAGGGAAGGAACCCCTGCCCTTGGACCCCTCTGCTAGAGTTTAAGGTGACCTAGCTCATGAAGGAGGAAACCAGCCTTCGAGGTCCAGATGGAAATGGCTTCCCTTCTCCAGATTGCTGGAGGCTCCCGAGTTTCATGATTAAGCCACATTCTCAGCTCTAGGAGCTGAAGACTTTTAGCCCAGTTCTTCATTAAATGTCCCCCAATCAAGGTTGAGTTTCAGTTGTCAGGGGAATTCCCTTTCAGAAGGTATTTAAGGCATTTCAAGGTCTCTCTTGGGGTCTTTGGTTACTGAGAGAAACCACTGACTATCAATTCCTTATTGCTGGGTAGCCTAATTAATAAATTGATTATTAATTACTCAGAAACTCTGTTTCTCAGGGTTTTCATTCATCACAGGTAATAGAGACGGTGGTGGTGGTGGTAGGGAAATAGTGCTCAGCACTCTGGCATTCAGCTCACTGCCTGGTGCACATCATTGTGGAACAGAAAAGTCCAATTCTGGTGTATTAGGCAACTCAGGAAGTATTTCTTTCCCTGTATCCTCTCCTTCTCCTCTCACAGCCTCACCATACACACACTGAGGGAGGCGATTGTACAAAGCCACGCTTCTTAATGTGATTTTAAAAAAATCTGTATTTTTTAAATGCCCAAAATACCATTCTTCATTGACAAATAGGTGTTTATTTTATCACAGTGGAGGTGGGTAGCACACGAGACCTGAGGTTTGTAATTTTTCAAATCTTGTCTAATAATGATAAAGCATTTTAAGGTTTTCAAAGCACTGAACATATCCTACCTCATTTGATCCTCCCAACAGCTCTTTTAAGATAGGTGCTATTATTGTCGCTATTTTATAGGTGAGTAAACTGAGGCAGACAGAGGTTAAGTGACTCACCCAGGGTCATACATCTAGTAAGTGTCTGAAATAGGATTGAACCCAGATCTTCCTGACTTCATGACTCAGTGCTCTTACCCATTCCACCACTTGTACCTAAAAACAATAGCAATGTGGGCAACCACATGCCTTGATCTAAGAACTTCTAAGATGTCTCTTTGTAACAGGAGGAATCATGATAGGCGACAAAGAAATGGGGAAGGAGGGGAGTTCAAAGAGAGGAATTTGGTTCCTAGAACTGACACTAACTTGCTACATGACCCTGGCTGGGACCATTATCTGACATTATTGTGCCATCAGCCTCTCACCTATAAAACTTCAAAGGAGGGAGAGGGAGTGTGGCACAGTGGATAGAGAGCTGGCCCCAGAGGTAGAAAGACTGAAATTCCAGGCCTGCCTCTGAGAGTCAGACCCTGATCCAGCCAGTTGACCTCTCATTGTCCAAGCAACAAGAGTTCTTAACCTTTCTTGTGTCCTCGACCCTTTGACCATTTGGTAAAGACAGTGGATCCCTTCTCTGAATAATGTTTTTAAATGCACAAAATAAAATGCATGGGATTAAAAAGGAAACCAATTATATTGAAATACAATTATCAAAATTTAAAAAAAAAAAAACCAAAACAGAAGCTCCCAGACCCCAGCAGGTTTGGAACCTGGGCTCTTAGACTATAAATTACAAACCAGATGCAATCTACCTTGGTAGAGAAAGACTTGCCACATTAGAAATTCTTTATATCAATGAAATCATAGGGCTGGTTAAAAAAATAGGGATAGTAATACTGACCCTAACTATCTGTCTCTCAGGGTGATTGCAAGGACCATGATTAAAAAGATGGAAAGGCTTCTTGAAAAGTGAAAAATGTGAACAATGTCATAGTGTTCCCGGGCACAGCTCTATGGATGGGACCCCTTGGCACTGCCCAGTTTCACTGCCTTGAGAGCCCAGGGGCCTGAATCTGGCTGGCATGTTTCTCCATAGAAGCACATGTGCTTTTAGTGAAGCAAGCATGCTCCCCTGCATTTTGTGCTCCAAAGAAAAGAAAGAGGTAAAGGACAAGCGTTTCTTAAGTTCTTACTATGTCTAGCACTGTGCTAAGATGGCAGATGGTGTCTGCAAGAAGCTGAGGGAAGAGGAAGATGGGGCCCTGGCACCTACTTCACTGGTTCTTATCAAGGCACAACCTTGAAAGATTATCTCTGCCATCTCCCTTTCTCCTAGCACCAAACCAAACAAGGCATTGGTTTATCTGGGCAGAGAAGACTCTTCTGACCTGGTCTGGCACAGTATTCATTCATTCATTCATTCATTCATTCATTCATTCATTCATTCATTCAGTTATTTGACAAACCATTACTGTGTGTCTCTATGTTCAAAGCATTGTGCTTAGAGGCCATGGCTGAAAGATGTCCTACCATCTTCCCTTACCAAGAACAAGCCAAACCACTATTTCACATCCCAGTCATTTGCGCAACTTTAAAAAGTGAGCTGATTCAGATCACAGAAAAGGAGAAATGGATACTACTCCTGGTTGTATCACGGTGGTCTCAGCAAGTAAGTTTATCTGTCCTCAGGCCTTAATTTTCTCATTTGCCAAATAGAGCTAATATTTGCTCTACCTCCTTCAAAGAGTTGTGAGGCAATGTGTGTAGATTGCACTCCTAGGGACAGGATGGGGTGTGAGTGGGGACAAGGCAAAAAGTCTTTGAAAAATCTACTGTCAGGAGCTGTTTAGCTTTTGCTCTGTACCAGAGACTCATTTTAAGAAAGGCCTAATGAAAAAAAAAAGACCTAATGAATTTTAGCTACAAAATTGACTCTCTCCTTTTAGCCCAAATCTAGATTTTCTGGTGAGGAAGGACAGGACCAGATTAAGTTGTAGATAATCACTGAAGTTGGTGGCCCAGTGTTTCAGCCTCTTAACTTCCCAACCGATGCCCTAACCAGGCCCTCTATTGCTAACACATTTTGGCTGCCATTTTATTCCCTACTGTTTCACTTTAAGAAAGGTGTAAAGAGAAGAGAGAAAAGTAGCAGGCTTAGTAATGGGGAAGAAGGGAACAGCAGGAGGAGGACATAAAGCAAACAAACCAGAAAAAACCCCAGGGTGCCAGCAATCAGGAAATCCTTTGTTGTAGCAGGAAGCAGGAGCTCATATAGGCTCACAGAATGTTCAGAATGGAACATTCTGAGCTATTCTCTGGATCGGCTAGTCTTCTAAGCCTCCCTCATTTAACAAATGGGAAACTGAAGGTCCAAGCTCACATAGTTTCATGGTGACAGAGCTATGCCTAGAAGCCAGGTCTCTGGACTCTTGGTCCAATACTTCTTCCTCTCTCTCCTATGAATTTTTTTTTTGGTTGGTGCTTTGAAAATCAAGTTAACTAATAGTGTGGTTCATCTTTGTACAGCAGCTGTGGCCATTTGAGAGGCCCTCTGACATGGAATGATAAGATCACAAGCACAGATTTAGCTCTAGAAAGGATGTTAGAAGACACTGAGTCTAACCCTCTTATTTGAAGAAGCTGAGGCACAAAGAGGTTCAGTGCTTTGCCTAGGGTCACGGTTAATAAGTGTCTAAGGTGGGATTTGAACCCAGGTGCTCCTGGCTCTAAATTCCACAGGAACACACCCAGAACTATTGAGCTCACTTACCTGAAAATTCTAATAGCAACTGAGGACTGAAGACTTTGTCCAGGACCCGGATCTCCTCCAGCTCTTTTTCTTCCTCCAGCAGCAGGCGGACGATCCTCTGCCCCAGAAATCCTCCTGCCCCTGTCACCAGACAGCTCCACTTCTCCATAGGCAATGTAGTACTAATTACCTCTTGGCAGAACACTCCTGCTGATGGAGACAGGCAGAACTTGGACCTCTAAAAGAAGCCCCAGGCTAGACTGGGGCTGTGGGAAATCTAGAAGTTGCTGAGAGTCAGATTTTGTCTTGCTCTCAGGGAAAACCTTCCTAAATGATTAGTTGTCCCAAATTGAAATAGACTGGTAGCAGTGAGGTCTCCATTATCATATGACATCAAGCAAAGTCAGGACAGTCACACATGGTAAAGGCATTAGAGAAGAGCTTCCTATGTCGGTTGGGGTTTGGACTCTGATTACCCTTAAGAGGCTATGGATTCTGAATCTTCTCTGATTCCTTCATTTGCATTTGTCCCTAGAGGATCTCTAGCCCCACCAAAACTAGAAGTGAAATAGGTGGTCAAGAAGGAAAACACACACACACACACACACACACACACACACACAGACAGTCTAACTCCTGTTAGTTGTCAAAAGGCAGTACCTTCCAGTCCTTTAAATAAGCCTGGATGCTGGTTGTCCTTTACCACTAAAGACAGATGACTAGTTTCACGTTCTGCTGAGAGCTAGGCTCTTGGGTCCTCCTCCTTGCCTTGGAATGTGCGGCTTTTACAAAATTGTTTCTCTTTTTGATTTCTCAGTCTTTCTCCTCCTGCTTTGAGCAAGGTCAGCTTTGTCATGACTCTCAGGCCCTATCAGAAGCTCATGGTCATCTCAAGGTTTCAGCTCATTCCTCAGGATGTGGGAGGGAAGGACACATCTATCCTCGGGTGTAAGAGAACCAGATTCAAGCAATGTGAGTCTTAGACAAGGAAGTAATTGGATAAGGGTGAGAGCCTCCTGTCTCCCAGAAGAGGTTTTGTTTAGCTAGAGACAGCAAGGTAGAACAGTGGATAGAGTGCTTGGCCCGGAGTCAGAAAGGCCTGAGTTCAAATCCAGCCTCAGATACTTACTGGTTGTGTGATCCTTGGGAAGTCCCTTAACCTCTGTTTGCCTCATTTTCCTCAAATGTAAAATGGGAATAATAATATCACCTACCTCGTAGGGTTGCTGTAAAGGTCAAATGAAATAATATTTGTGAAGTGTTTAGCACAGTGCCTGGCACATAGTCGGTGCTATATAAATGCTACCACTATCAAAATCCTACCCATCCTTGCATCTAGCTCAAATTCCACATTTTTTTTGCTTCTTGGTGAGGCAATTGGGGTTAAGTGACTTGCCCAGGGTCACACAGCTAGTAAGCATCATGTGTCTGAGGCTGGATTTGAACTCGGGTCCTCCTTACTCCAAGGCTGGAGCTCTATCCACTGTACCATCTAGCTGCCCCATAAATTCCACATTTTTCATGGATCTTTCTCTGACTTGACATACACTGGCTGTGTCACCCTGGGTAAATCACTTAACCTTTCAACATCCTAGCAACTCCCTAAGACTTACAGAGTTTTAGAGAAGGTACTGACCTGAATTGGTAGAGGGAATTAACTCTATCTGTGGCTTCCCTACATCACTGAAATCATATGTCCAATCTCTATTCTGACCCTTTCCCTGACTTGACTTTCCTTCTCTATCACAAACTCTAGGAGAAGAAGTCATTCTCCTACTGCAACAGGTTTTTTTCTCCCTTGTCCTCATTTATTTTAAAATGACCTTCTATATTCAGGTCACATCAGGAACACATTTTCAAATGATTTTGGTATAGGGTGTTAAGATGTTATGCTAAAACTAATTTCTGTCAAACTGAATTCTAGTTTCCCCAGTTTTTTAATCAAAAAGAGTCCTTCCAATTTTATCTTCTTGAGTCAAACACCGTGCAATTGTTTTTGATTGCTTCATTTTCTTTCTTATCTAATCTGTTCCAGTGATGTACTTTGTTTTCTTTCTTTTTAACCTTCCCCCAGGAGTTTTGATGATTCCCGTTTAATAATAACAATGATAATGACAAGGATGATTATAGCTAGCATCTCTATAGCACTTTAAAATTTACAAAACAGAGTTTCCAAACAGATCTAGAAAACACATCAGACTGAATCCTCCCTGATGGAGACATCCAGAAAAAGTCACAGCCATTCATTTTTCCAATCCAGACCAGCATAGAGAAACAGAGAGGTCTGCAGACAGTGGGGATGGGGTCTTGTCATGAGCACAAAGCTAATGAGATACTCCATTGCCCAGCAAGATGCTATACATCAAGTCAAGAGGAGATCCCAGACCCATATCAGAGCACTAAGTACAGGGGGCAGCAGCAGGTGTCCATTGGCAGCTTTGGCACTCACTACCTAGTTTCAGGGTAAGAAGAGAAACTGGACTAGGGGGTTGCATTCCTGGGTAGGGAGGTCTGGGACTGTGTACTGAGAAGGAGTAAATTCAGAAGCAAGTAGCAGTAGGGTAGCTCAGACCACAAGAGCAGAGCAGGGTCTCAGTTCTAGCTTCTGGACTAGTCTGAAGTTTGGTGAGGCTTTAAGAACAGGTTAAGAATCCTAGACCAAAGGGTAACCTACAACAGCACAGCATTATAGGAGCTAAGTCCAGGAGTAGTCTACTGTTGCTCAGATCCAAATTCAGGTCAGGAGCTTTCGGAGCTCAGACTAAGGGGAAAGGATAACAATGATCCTGTGCCTTGAATCAGACCACTGTGGGACCACTGAAAGCTTGCAGGTTATCAGTCTATCTCTGAGATATTGGAAACAGGTAATAATCAATACCCAAAGAAAATAATAACAGGACCAGCCCCCTTTCCTTCCAGGAGTGTGGCAGAGCCTAGTGCTAACACCAAATCTCAAGTCAGGAAGCAGGCTGGAAGAAGAAGCAAACAAAAACAAGAACCCCACCATAAAGAGCTGTTATGGTGGTGGGGAAACTTAAGAAACAGACATAGAAATGCATGATTCAAAGACACCTATAAACAAAGCCTCTGAGAAAAACACAGCTTGAGTACAAACTGAACTAGAATTCCTAGAAGAGATGAAGTAAGGGTTTAAAAAAAGAGTTAGAAATATTTTTATAAATTAAATGAGAGTACAGGAAAAAATGGGAGAAAAAAGTTGAAAGCGATGGAAGAAAGAATTGAAAAGGGAATTAACAGTTTAGTGCAAGAGGTACAGAAGACTTGTTCAAGCATCAAACTCCCTGAAAATTAGAATGGCCTAAATAGAAGTCAATGACTCCAGGAGAAAACAAGAAATATTAAAACAAAGTCAAAATACTGAAAAAATACAAGAAAATATAAGATATCTTATAGCAAAAACAACTGACCTGGAAACAGATTAGGGAGAAAAAAAGTTAAGAATCATTGAATGCCATGACCAAAAAAGAACCTAGACATCAAATTTCAAGAAATCTTAAAATAAAACTAGCTAGATCTCTTGGAGCCAGAGACTAAAGTAGAAATAGAAAGAATCTATTGGCCATATCCTGCAAGAAACCCCCAAAGGAAAATTCATAAGAACATCTTAGCTAAAATCCAGAACTTCTAGGTCAAACTAAAAATACTACAAGTGGACAGAAAGAAAGAATTTAAGTACCAAGGGGCCATAGTCAGGTCCCCATATGAAGCCTTTCACCATGAAAGAATAGAGAATTTAGAACATGATATTCCAGAAGGCAAAAGATATAGGATTACAGCTAAGAATACCTTATCCAGTAAAACTGAATATAAAGAGGAAAAACGAATACTTAATGAGATACAGCACTTCCAAGCATTTCTGATAAAAAAGACCATAGTTGAACAGAAACTCTGAAGTGCAAACACGGGAGTTAAGAGAAACAGAAAAAAGTAAATATGAACAAACCATTTTAAGGGAATAATTCCCCACTTGATGGACATCCCCTCCGTTTTTGTCTTCTTTGCCATTACAAGAAGAGCTGCTATAAATATTTTTGTACATATGGGTACTTTCCCCTTTTCTTTGATCTCTTTGGGTTATAGGCCTAGTAGTGGTATTGCTAGGTCAAAAGTAGGTACCATTTAGTAACTTTTGAGGCATTGTTTCAAATTACTGTCCTAAATGACTGGACCAACTCATAGCTTGACCAGCAGTGCATTAAAGTTTGTTTTCCTGCAGCCCCTACAACATTTGTCTTTTACTCTTTTGTCATCTTTGATAACTTAATAGAAAAGGTAAGGTGGAATTTCAGAGTTGTTTTAATTTGCATTCCTTAAATTACTAGTTATTTGGAACATTTTAAAATATGGTTATTGATAGCTTGGATTTCTTCCAGCGAAAACTGCCTATTTGTATTTATCAACCATTTGGGAATGGATCTTACTCTTATAAATTTGAATCAAGTCCTGTTATGTCTTAGAAATAAGACCTTTATCAGAGAAACTTGCTATCAAGATTCCCCCTCTTCCTTCCACCCCCCCCCCCCCCGCCTATTACCTGTTTCTCTTTTAATTTAGCTGCATTGGTTTTGTTGGTGTAAAAACTTAAAAAAAAAACTTAATGGAATTGTGCCTCCATTTTGCCTCCTCTAAGTCTGTTTTATAGCTAGCTCTTCCAACACTGTGTCAAATAGTAGTGGTTATGATGGATATCCTTTACTTCTGATCTTATTGGAATGACAAACAGAGGAGATCCCATTAGCAAATCAGCTAAACCCTTTGATCCTCCATTACCTCACCTACAAAATGTGGATAATACCGGCAATACATACCTCACAGGGCTTATGTGGAGCTCAAATCAGATAATGTAAATGAAGCATTTTGTATAAACGTCAGTCATTGTTATTTAGTGGTTCTGACACTATTTTTATAGGAACAGATATTTTATAGGACCACACAGATATTTTCCTCTGTTACTTGCCCTTACTTTCATCTTTTATGATCCTCAGTTGGTTAGTGAATTATCTAATTATCCACATTAATCTTCAGATTATAGATTTTGAGTTGAATGTGATGTTAAAGGTCATCTCATCAAATTCTCCTATTTTACAAATGAGGATACTGAAGCCCAGAGAAGGAAAGACATTGCCCAAGGGTATAGAAATAGAAAGTAACCAATGTGGGATTTGAATTCCTATAATCTGTGGAAGCAATGCAGTGTGGTTGAAAGATTATTAGATTGAAAGTCAGAGCACTTAGATTCAAATCCCGGCTGTGACAACTTCTGCTTGTGTTACCTCGGACAAATCACTTGACCTCTCTAGGTCTTGATTTCCTTATATATAAAATTAGGTGGTTGAACTGGATGATCTTTGAGGTTCATTCTAGCTCTAAATTTATGATTATATGAATCTAAGATTATCATTCTTTTCATTGTCTTGTATTGTCTTTGAACTTTGTTACTGGTTCCCTTCTTGAATTTTGTCTCTTGTGAATTTCTGGATGTGTCCTACCTCTGGTGCTTTGCATAGACTGTCCGCCATACTTGAGATGCCTTCTTCTTCATGTCCTCCTTTCTTTTTTTTTCTTTTTTCAGTCAGAGACAAGGTTTATTAAAATATCGGTTGGGGTAGGCAAGATTCCTAGTGAGTCTGCGCTATTGGCTAGATTTTAAGAATCTGAGCAATTTAATGGGGACAAGATGGGGCTTCTTTACAGAAAGACTGTGGGAAAATCTGGATGTGATCAAGGCATGGAACAGAGAAGTTTGGGGTGACTAGGAGATAATTAAGGGTGGGAAGTGGTGGGGGTGGGGGGAGGCATCCCTGAGGTAACAGACAATGAAGGGCTAGGCTAGGTTAGAGGTAACAGAGAATTGGAGATTGGGGCAGGGTCAAAGCTACAGCACCGACAGCTGAAAGGATTATTAACTGGGAAGGGCTAGGTGCTCCAGGTGAACTCCAGGGATTTGGGAGACGCAGGAATGTCCAGGACCTTTTAGGGGTCCATCATTAGCGTCCCATCATTCCCCCCTCAAACAAATGGGATGCTAATGATGGACCCCTTTTACTGTCTGTTTGCTCTGACTATAGAAATTTGCTATAAAAGGATAAAGCAGGGACAAGATTGAGAATTCAAATATGACAGGATAAAACATCTTTAGCTCTTTTTGAATTCATATAATTCAGTTTTCCAACCATGCATTATCAATTCCACCTCAAAGCCAGTCTCAGGAATAGCCTGTTGGGTAACATTTCTTTTCAAAAGAACATAATGGGGAAGCGGAGCCAGGAGGATCCCATCTTAGACTGAGGCTAAAATTGTCCTTTCTGCTTTTCCCAGAGGTGGGACCTCCCACCTATATCACGTTCTCTCAGAGTAGCTTGCGGCGTTTTTCTCAGATGGCGGATTATTGACTAATGATTATTGGTGGATTATTATGATCCATTAGACAACTCAAAATTCAGTTATAGTCCCAAAAGCTTTTACCTCAAACAACAAATTTCCACTAATCACAGCTTAGAGAAAAATTTTCTAGGATTTACATCTCAAATTTAAATTTGTCCTGGTATAAAAGCCAATTGTTAGAGATCATTTCTATATACTTGCAAATTCTCAGCAAGCCAAGTTCATTGTTTAGGAACTCCATAACCTAAACAAGCTTTTTGGGGAAGTTTACAAAATAAGGGGGTCCACAAGGACCCCAGAGAAGGGACTTCCTATCCACCCTATCTACCCTTAGAGCTGAGGACTGCTCTGAATGGGCAGAACCAATCTAGATGAGGCTTTCACCTCATACCCTCCTTTACACATACACAGTAATCAATTACTAGCTTTAACTTTTAGCATTAAAACAATAACCAACAGTCTTACAATTCTCATAAGTGATAGCCAAATTGTTTTAGCTGTAACCAAATTATGAAAGTTGTTTGACATAACTGATACAAAAGTTTACCAATTTGAGACTTGAAGCGAACCCATTACCAATCAGGTGACTTCAATGTTGTTGAATGCGTTTCCAAATTACTTTACACAGAAAATCAGCATCTCATGATTAATATGTTAAAACTACAACTTTAAAATAACAGACTTACCAAGTTCGGAGTATGGTTGGCTTTTTACTCGTACTGCCTTCATGAGGGTGTTGGGAGGTGGGTGTGGTGGTGAGCAGGACGTGCCTGAACCTGGGTGATACTCGTAGGCTTTCTGGGTTGCCTCAGGGCCCAAGGCTTTCCAACGGGGCCTAGCTGCAGCAGCGGTGCCTCCCTGCTCCTACCTTTCACCTGGTCCGGGAAGGTGAATTTGAAGGTGGGGGGAGGGGAAGGGTGAAATTCTCTTCTCCTAGTCCGATTTGGGCTGAGAGGAGTTCATAGAAAAACCCAGGGCTGTTTGCAATCCCCTGCACTGAGATACTCTTTTGACTGAGGGGGATGGGAGTGGGGGAGGGGAATGACCAGGGTTGGAAGGAGGTGTTTCAAAACTCCTTTATGATCAATCACAGAACCTTCAGAATCTGCTAAGATGTTTTAAGCTGCTCTAGAAGAATCTTAGGAACTTTTCTTTGAACTTTTACAATTTATCTTGGTCCTCTAGATCCCAGAGGCCAGGCACAAAGCTTTCACGGTCCCTACAACATTTGTCCTTTCACTCTTTTGTCATCTTTGATTACTTAATATAAAAGGTAAGGTGGAATTTCAGAGTTGTTTTAGTTTGCATTCCTTTGATCACTAGTTATTTGGAACATTTTAAAATATGGTTATTGATAGCTTGGATTTCTTCCAGCAAAAACTGCCTATTTATATTTTTTGATCATTTGGGAACGGATCTTACTCTTATAAATTTGAATCAAATCCTGTTATGTCTTAGAAATAAGACCTTTATCAGAGAAACTTGCTATCAAGATTCCCCCCCTTCCCAGTCCCCTGCCTATTACCTGTTTCTCTTTTAATTTAGCTGCATTGGTTTTGTTGGTGTAAAAACTTAAAAAAAACCAACTATATGGAATTGTTTCCTCAGTGCCTAATATAGTGCCTTGCACCTAGCAGGCATTTAATACATAGTTTAGGAGTTATACCAAATTTAATTGTGTAATATGGGCTACGCCACTCCTATTATTAGTGATTATCCAAATCTTAACCTTGAGAAATCAGGGTCCTAGACATGAAGAATGGCCTGAGAACTGCCTGCATAATGAGCTCACACCATAATAACTAGTGGAACTTGAAAAGCCAAGATGTTTTCACTGGGAGCTCACCAGTGATCCAGGTACATAGAACTTAGGGGACCTTGACTTATGAAACAGTGGGGAAAGAGGACATTACCATAAGTGTTTTGACTTGGACACAAGTTTTTGAGGCTCTTTCATGTCTAAGGACGCATTGCCTGGGAGAAAGTCCTCTTTTATTTCTAATATATGGTTGGAAAGTTTAATTGGCTAGGAGAGGCAGGATAGGAATGAGTCCAAGGTCCGGAATTAATCTTTGTATACAAGGCTTAAAAAGGGAAGGAGATCGGAAGAGGGGGATGGGTTGGGACTAGAAATGGTGGCATGGTGTCTTCAAATTTTTCTGGAGAGCTTTAATTTCTTTCCCCTTAGAGTTGTTATCCCGCCCCCCCAGACAAGCAAACAAACAAACCATTGGATGGTGGAGATAGTACCTGTGACACTTAAAAGCATTGAATTCATTAACAAGTTACCTCTCTCTGAACTAGTTTCTATATCTCTAAATAGGGAAAAGAATACTAGCATTGCCTACCTAATAAATACCATACTACCACTCACCAAAACACCATACTACCACTCACCCTGTACCCCTTCCACATTAATTCCCTTTTATAGGTGAGGTAATAGTATGGAGGGTGTACTTTGTTAACCTCTAAAGTATTATAAGATGGTGAGTCTTTATTTTTATAGGATCTTTGAGCTGGGCTGGATGTTGCTGATCATTAGTTCTTACCTCTTTATTTTGCAGTTAAGAAAATATACATTGAGTGACTTTCTCAACGTCACTAGGATAGGTAGTGCATGAAAGGGAGTGAGAGTCACTCCTGGATATCCTGCACAGCTTTTCCCTTCCGTCTTCCCTCCCTCATCTTCTCCTCTCCTCTAAGAGGAGGGTAATGATAATGTCCCATTTATAGAGGGTTTTGAAGTACTTCACAAACATGGCCTCATTTGAGCTTTGTAATATTCCTGTGAAGTATGATGGGTCTTATTATTATGATTGTACACATGAATAAACAGAAAACCATACAAGTTAAGTGATCTGCCCACGGTCACACAGCTAGTAAGTATAGCATGGAGATTTGAAGCCAGCAGTCCCTGACTCCATGACCAGTACTCCACCTACTAGTAGGAGTTGTCAGGGTAACTCTGGTTTATGGAGAATGAGGGGGAAAAGGTGATGTGAAAAGAGAAAATTATGTTTAAAAATATAAACAATCTGTGTTCTTATCTATATCATTGGATTTTCCTCTACTACCTCAAGCAATAACTGCCAATGTTGGACCAAGCTGTTCTTAAACAATACATAGTTAGGATTCTGGGAAGATGGTGGAATAGGTCAGAAAATTCCAAGCTCTCCAGATTTTCTCCACAAAGAAGATAAAATAGTGCTTCAGGGTGAATGTAGAGCAGCAAAAATAAACAAAAGTTGGGGCAGAGCAGTGGTTTTCTTGTATCCCAAAGAGATCATAAAAATGGGACCCACATGTACAAAAATATTTATAGCAGCTATTTTTGTGGTAGCAAAGAATTAGAAATTGAGGGGATGCCCATCAGTTGGGGAATGGCTGAACAAGTTGTGGTATATGAATGGTGGTTTTTTTTTTTTAATTTGGTTAGGCAATGGGGTTAAGTGACTTACCCAGGATCACACAGCTAGTAAGTGTTATGTGTCGGAGGCCGGATTTGAACTCAGGTCCTCCCGAATCCAGGGCTGGTGCTCTATCCACTGTGCCACCTAGCTGCCCTGTGGTATATGAATGTAATGTAATACTATTATGCTATAAGAAATGATGAGCAGGCAGACATCAGAAAAACCTGGAAAGACTTGAATGAACTGATGCTGAGTGAAGTGAGCAGAACCAGGAGAACATTGTATACAGTAACAGCCACAATGTGTGATGACTAACTTTGATAGACATATCTCTTAGCAATGTAAGGATCCAAGACAACTTCAAAGGACTCATGATGGAAAATGCTATCCACATCCAGAAAAAGAACTATAGAGTCTGAATGCAGATTGAAGCATACTATTTTCTCTTTCTTTTGTTGTTTTTTTTCTTTTGTTTTTTCTTTCTCATGGTTTCACCCATTGGTTCTAATTCTTCTTTACAGCATGACTAATTTGAATATAGGTTCAATATGAATGTATATGTAGAGCCTATATCAAATTGCACACTGTCTTGGGGTGGGGGGAAAGGAAAGACGGAGAGAAAATTTGGAACTCAAAATCTTATGGAAGTAAATGTTGAAAACAAAAAATAAATAAATAATAAAAAATAAAATTATAGATCAATTTTGTTAATGAATATGGATGCAAGAATTCTAAATAAAATACTAGCTAAAAGATTACAACAATATATTACAAGGATTATATATTATCACCAAGTGGGATTCATATCGGGAATATAGGGATGGTTTAACATAAGGAAAACTATTAACATAATTGATTATATCAATAATAAAAGTAACAAAAATCGTATGATAAAATCAATAGATGCAGAAGAAGAATTTGATGGGCATAAATGGACTTTCCCTTAAATTGATAAGAAGCATTTACCTAAAATCATTAGCAAGCATTATTTGTAATAGGGATAAGCTAGAAACCTTCCCAATAAGATCAGGTGTGAAACAAGGAAACTCATTGTCACCAATATTATTCAATATTGTATTGGAAATCCTAGCAATAGCAATAAGAGGAGAAAAAAATAGAAGGAATCAGAATAGGGAATGAGGTAGTAAAACTATATCTTTTTGAAGATAATATGATTATATGCTTAGAAAATCCTAAAGACTCAACTAGAAAGTAAATTGAAATTATTAATAATTTCAACAAAGCAGCAGGATATAAAGTAAACCCACATAAATTTTCAGCATTCCTATATATCACCAACAGAATCCTACAGGAAGAGATGGCTAGAAATACCCCATTTAAAATAACTCTAGACAGTATAAAATACCCGGGAATATACCTACCAAAACGAATTCAGGGTCTATATGAACAAAACCATAAAAAAATTGTACAAAAATAAGATCTGATTTAAATAAATGGAGAAATATTAATTATTCGTGAGTAGGCAAGGCCAATATAACAAAAATGACAATTTTACCAAAATTAATCTATATATTCAATACCATCCCAATTAAATTACCAAAAAATTATTTTACAGTGCTAGAAAAAAATAATATCAAATTTTATTTAGAACAAAAGGTCAAAGATATCAAAGGAACTAATGGGAAAAAATGGAAAGGACAGAGGTTTAGCAGTACCAGATCTTAAACTATTTTAAAAAAAAAATCTCAATTAATTAATTTTAGTTTTCAACATTCACTGCCATAAGATTTTGAGTTCCAAGTTTTCTCCCCATCTCCCTTCCCCCCTTCCCAAGACAGCATGCAATCTGATAAAGGCTCTACATTTACATTCATATCAAACATATTTTCACATTAGTCATGTTGTAAAGAAGAATTAGAATCAATGGGAGGAATCACAAGAAAGAAGAAACAAGCAAAAAAAAAGAGAGTAAACAGTATGCTTTGATCTGCATTCAAACTTCAAATCTGGTCTCAGACACATAACACTTACTAGCTGTGTGACCCCTGGGCAAGTCACTTAACCCCATTGCCTAACCAAATTAAAAAAACAAAACACCATTCATATACCACAACTTGTTCAGCCATTCCCCAACTGATAGGTATCCCCTTAATTTCCAATTCTTTGCCACTACAAAAATAGCTGCTATAAATATTTTTGTACATGTGGGTCCTTTTCCCATTTTTATGATCTCTTTAGGAGACAGACCTAGCCCTGGTATTGCTAGGTCAAAGGGTATACACATTTTTATAGCCCTTTGGGCGTAGTTAAACTATATTATAAGGCAGTATTTATCAAAACTATCTAGTACTAAGAAATAGAAAGGTAGATCAGTGGAACGAAGTAGACATACAATGTACAGTAGCAAATGAATTTAGTAACCCAGTGTTTGAGAAGTGTAAAGACAAGTTTTTGGGATAGGAATTTATTATTTGATAAAAATTGTTGGGAAAGCTGAAAAGTAGTCAGGCAGAAATTGGGCATAGACCAAAATCTTACATCATTTACCAAAATAAGGTCAAAATGGACATGACCTAGATCTAAAGGGAGATATTACAATAACAGTTGAAGAACATGGAACATGTTACCTGTAATGTAGGAGCTAAGCTAGATTCATCCAAACCAAAGAAGGACAATGAATCAACGGACGGGGGATTCATACCAGTTTGTTTTTCCTGTGGTGGCCAGCAATGAAGGAGTTGAGGAACAGCACCCATACCCCTTAGCCAGTACCCGCTTGATTTATAGGGAAACAGGCATTTTGCCAGCAGTCGGCTCACAAGTTGACATTAACTTTAGCAATATCATGATAACTTAGCATAGCACAGGCGCAGTGGGTGTTTACAACTTAAGCACAAATGTTTATATTATGAATGGTTATATAACAATGTGCAAGCGTGGGAGAGAGTGTTTTCAAGCCATTATCCTGGGAATTAGTATCTAAAAAAGAAAAACAGATCTACCTTACATACATCACCTTATCAGGTGAACAATTTATGAGCGAACAAGAGATAATGTTGTGAGATGTAAAATGGATAATTTTGATTACATTAAATTGAAACATTTTTGTACAAATAAAACAAATGTAGCCAAGATCAAAAGGAAAGCAGAAAACTGAGAAAATTTTTTATAGACAGTTCATCAGATAAAGGTCATATCTCAGATATATAAAGAACTTTGTCAAATCTATAAGAATGTGAGTCATTCCCCAATTGATAAATGGTCAAAGGATATGAACAGTTTTCTGATGAAGAAATCAAAACAATTTATAGTCATGTAAAAATGCTCTAAATCATTATTGATTAGACAAATGCAAATTAAAACAACCTTGAGATATCATTTTACACCTATCAGATTAACTAAAATGATAAAAGAGAGAAGTGACAAATGTTGGAGGAGATGTAGAAAAATTGGTACCTTAATTCATTGTTGGTGGATCTATGAGTTGATCCAACCATTTTGGAGAGAGATTTGGGATTATGCCCCAATAATTTCTAAGTTGCATATACTCTTTGACCCAGAAATACCAATATTAGGTCTATTTCCCAAGATGATTTGGGAAAATGGAAAAGAATCTACATTATAAAATGTTTATAGCAGCTCTCTTTGTGGTGGCAAAGAACTAGAAATTGTGGGGATGCCCGTCATTTGGAGAATGCCTAAACAAATTGTGGTATATGTTTATGATAGAATATTACTCTGCTATAAGAAATGATGAACTCAATGATTTTAGAAAAGTGTGGAAAAACCTCTATGAAATAACGAAGAGTGAAATGAACAAAACCAAGAGAACATTGTACACAGTAACAGCACTATTGTTTTAAGAACAACTTTGAGCAACCAAGTCGTTCTATTATAAATACCTGAATTAACCATAAAGATCCTGTGAAGGAAGATGCTGTTTGAATCTAGAAAAAGAACTCATACATAAGCATATATGTGTATGTATGTACATATGTATATATGTGTGTGATACACACACACAAACATACATACAGATTTGTGTCTAATGGTAGCCATCTCAAAGTTTGGGGTGGGGGGGAAGAGGAAAAAAAAGAAAGTCACACAATAACTTTGTTGTACATTTGAAAGAAATAACAAGTTGTACATAATGGATCTCTAAATTCAGGTGCTATGCTTTGTTTTTCTTTCCCACTTTGTTACGGAAACGCTTGTTTTATTTCTTAGACACAGAATAAAAAATACATAGTTGCTCAATATTTCCCCTATGTTTAGAATAGAAATCATGATCTTGGATACGGACTATCTCTAGATAGTGAACTGAGGCCTGGAAAGAGACAAACTGTGATATCTGTGGGCCAGTGAAGTCTTCTGGAGAGCTACTTGGAAGCCTGTGTCCGTTTTTTTTATATAGACAGAAAGAAGAATAGCCTCCACACATTGAAAGAAAAATTTTCTTTTTGTTGATTGGATCTTTTGGATTTGGGGGCCCTATGACCACCAGTGGCAGAGATGACCCTGAATGAATGCTGCTATCCATCTCTGCCCCTTCCAAAGCAAGCACTACATTGTTTAATGTTGCAAACATCTTCATTCTCGTTGGGATGCCCAAGTTACCCAACTTGGTCTCTGGGCACAAAACGTGCCAGCAGAACTGAGGAGATGAGGGAGGAAGTCCGTCACTCCCTGACAAGGAAGGAGGAAACCCATCGGTTGTGTTGATAACGGGACAGCATCAGAATTCTGGTTCTCTTTCATACTGGTGTTCTTGCTGCCGAAATCCAGTTTGATGGCACAGCTGGCCTGATGAGCGGTTTTCTTTAGCTAGGCAACGTGTGTGTGTGTGTGTGTGTGTGTGTGTGTGTGTGTGTGTGTGTATGTGTGTATGCAGGTGCACAGCTTGAGAAGGGAGGGTCCACATGGTCACTTGATATATCCAGTTCTCACATCCCCTTGGAAAGGTCACCTCTTATAATTTGGAGAATTGCACCAAGTCCTGGCTGATCTCTGAGATTGACCGGCAACCTGTAATGACAAAACACAGCCACATTCATCCGGACTCCTTTAATAAGCTAATCAGGGGTCTATGCTAATTCATACAGAAGCGGGCTTAGGTTAACTTTTATATCATCCTAGCCAATTAACAGGGAAGGCCTAAACTATTTGAAAAGGCAAGCTGTTTCAAGCACTTTTGAAGCATTACTTTAAATAGAAAATTCTACTGTGCGAATCACAAGCAATTTTTATCTCTTCATTCTTTGGCACCTTTCATTTGCCTTGTCATAGCTATTATATGCTATGGAAAGTAAAACAATTCATTTCTTAAAAGTGATTACCACTTAGACTGGACTTATTTCATTAGGCCTAGTGAGGAAGGTTCCAAGTTAGCTTAGGTCCCAGAATTCTTTGCCTTTTAAGCCCTTTTTCTCATTGGGTAGTGAAAAGCTCTTTCTATGAATTCTATCACAGTCTCTTCCATATGAGGTGGGAGTGGTATTTGGGGGGAGGACGTGATGCTTAGAAATCTCAGTTTCCTGATTCAGACCACCCAGGAGACTGACCAGTCTGCCTAGTCTGAAGTGAAGGTTGACCTCTTTGGTAGATATTTTGAATGCATCTTAAAATTTGTTGGCTTTTAATGATGGCTCAGTCTTTTCTGGCATGCAGGTATTGATATATTCAGGCAACTCTGTATATTCTGACTAGGGCACAAGACTATGAATTCTGAGGAGCTAACCTCAAGTTTTCTAGACCTAAACTTAGTACTTGAGACAAGAAGTTTGGTTCTTTGGTTTCAATGGACACCAGGTTCAAAGTCACTTTCCCGCCAAACACTCAATTTATAGAAGACTTCCTTCCATTTAACTGACAGGAAGGTTTATGTGTTCACCATCCTTTAGTCTTTATTTCTGCTCTTTTTAACAGGGTGGAGGAGAAAAATTGACCGCAATAAGGGAAGGTTAAAGGAACTAAAGAGGGTTAGCCCATGGAAGAGAACACTTAGGGAAGACACAATCACTTTCCCCCAGTATTTGAAGGGTGTAGAAAAGACAGTAGATCTCTGTGCTGTACGTCAGGAGATCAGAACCAGGATCAATGGATAAAGCTACAGGAAAGCGAATTTCCATTCCAAATAAGGAAGAGATTCCTAATAATTAGATCTGTCTGAAAATAGAATAGACTACTTCCAGAGGCAGTAAGCCCCCTGTCACTGAAGGCATTTAAAAAGAGGCAAGATGGCCGATTGTTGATAGCTAGGTGGTACGGTGGATAGAGTGCTGAGCTTGGAGTCAGGAAGACCTAAATTCAAATCCAACCTCAGATACTTACTAGCTATGTGACTCTTGGTGAGTCATTTAACCGCTGTCTGCCTCAGTTTCTTAACCTGTAAAGTGGAGATAACAATAGCACATACCTACCATGGTTGTTGTAACAAAGGAGATAATATTTTAGGATCATTTAGCACAGTGCTTGGCACATAGTAGGTGCTATTATTATTATTATTAGATTGTCAATGTTACTACATTGGGCAAGGGGTGAGTGGGTGGGTTGAAATGACCTTTAAAATTTCTTCCAAAGGACAGAGTCAAGATGGCAGAAAGGTACTCACCTGAGCTCTCCTAAATTCCCCTCCAAACAACTTTAAAATAATGCCTCAAATCAAATTCTGGAGTGGAAGAACCAACAAAAGGTCAGGGTGAAACAATTTTCCAGCCTAAGATAACTTAGGGGTTGGCATGAAAGGTTTGTCTTGTTGGGGTGGTGGTCAGGTCTTGAGCATAGTGTGGTGCAGTCTGTGCCCCTGCAAGTTACCTTGGGGCCACTGTGGGAGCTCTTAGCACAGAGATGGTAAGATGGTTGGAAAACTTCTGGCAGTGGGTGCAGGACCTTATTTTATTGCCCATACACAGTTCCAGGATGAAGAGGAATGCTAGTACACTAGAACATGTGGGTACAAAGGAGCGTAGCACTGGTCACATTTTCAGGGCAGAGAAGAGTGCTTATGGTCACTCACAGACCAGAGCACAGGCCAGCAGAGCAGTGACCACACCTCTCCTTAGATCATACCTCTTTGGAAGAACTAAAAACTTACCAATTCCCAGAACTAGCTCTGAAAACAGCAGCATAAAAAACCTGAAGCTTTGGATAGTACCCCTTTTGCCCCAGGAGCAGAGATCAACTTTAACATAAAGTTAAAAGTCAAGAAATAGTCTGGAAAAATGAGCAAACAACAACAACAAAAAAGAACCTGGTTATAGAAAATTATTATGGTAACAGGGAAGATCAAGACACAAACTCAGAAGAAGACAATGAAGTCAAAACAGTTACATGCAAAGCTTCACAGAAAGATGTGAATTGGTCATAGGCCCAAAAGGAATTTGTGAAAGAGCTCAAAAAAGATTTTAAAAATCAAGTAAGAGAGGTAGAGGAAAATCAGGAAAGTAAATGAGAGTGATGCAAGAAAATTATGGAAATAAAGTAAAAAGCTTGGTAAAGGAGGCATAAAAAATACTGAAGAACTTACTATGTGACCCTAGGTAAGTCACTTAACACCCATTGCCTCACCAAAGAAAATACTGAAGACAATAACATATTAAAAATAAAATTCACCAAATGGGAGAGAGAGTGAGAGAGACAGAGAGAGACAGAGAGACAGAGAGAGAGGGGCATAAAATCCACCAAAGAGAAGAACTCCTTAAAAAGCAGAATTGGCCAAATGGAAAAACAGGTACAAAAATTCCCTGAAGAAAAGAACTCCTTAAAAAGTAGAATTGGTCAAATGGAAAAGGAGGTACAAGAGCTCACTGAAGAAAATAATTCCTTAAAAATTAGAATTGGGCAGGTGGAAAATAATGACTTCATGGTACATCAAGAAACAACAAAACAAAATTAAAAAAATGAAAAAATAGAAGAAAATGTGAAATATCTCATTGGAAAAACAACTGACATGGAAAATAGATCCAGGAGAGATGATTTAAGAATTACTGGACTATCTGAAAGTCATGATCAAAAAAAGAGCCTAGACATTATATTTCAAGAAATTATCCAGGAAAACTACACTGATATCCTAGAACTAGAGGGTAAAATAGACATTGAAAGAATTCACTGATCACCTCCTCACAGAGATCCCAAAATGAAAACTCCCAAGAATATTGTAGTCAAATTCCAGAACTCCCAAGAGGAAAATATTGTAAGCAGCCTCCCCTCTCCTTCCCCCTCAAAAACCAAGCAATTCCAATACTGCAGAGCTATGCAAGATTTGGCAGCTTTTACATGAAAGGATCAGAGGGCTTGGGATAGGATATTCTGGAGGGCAAAGGAGTCAGGATTACAACCAAGAATAACCTACCCAGCAAAACTGAGTACAATCCTTCAGGGAAAAAAATGGATATTCAATGAAATAGATGACTTTCAAGCATTCATGATAAAAAGACCAAAACTGAAAAGAAAATTTGACTTTCAAATACCAGACTCAAGAGAAACATAAAAAGGTACATAGCAAAGAGATAAATCATAAGGGATTCAGTAAGGTTAAAATGTTTACATTCCTACATGGGAAGATGATACTTGTAATTCCTAAGAACTTTATCATTATTAGGGCAATTAGTAAGAGTGTATGTAGAAAAGGGGCACAGGATGAGCTGACTATCATGGGATCATTTAAAAAATTAAAATAAAGGGATGAGAAAGAGGTATGCACACTGGGAGAAGGGGAAAGGGAGAAGGAGAATGAGGAAAATTCTCTCACATAAAAGGTATGAAAAGAAGGGCTTTTATAGTGAAGGTGAAGATGTGTGTGGGGGGGTGGCAGAAAATACTTGAACCTTTTATTGGAATTGGCTCAAAGAGAGAATAACATACACACTTATTTGGGCATAGAAATCTGTCTTGTCCTACAGGGAAGTAGGAAGGGAATAAGAGAAAAGAGGGTTGATAGAAAGAAGAGAATATTGAGGGAGGTGATGGTCAGAAACAAAACAGATTTTTGAGGATAGACAGGGTGAAAAGAGAGAGAGAGAGAAGGGTAAAGTGGGGGGGGATATGATGAAGGAAAATACATAGTAATAATAACTGTGAATGTGAATAGGATGAACTTACCCATAAAGCAGAAGAGGAAAACAGTGGATTAAAAACCAGAATCTGAATATGTTTGAAGCAGAGAAACATACACACAGAGTAAAGGTAAGAAACTGTAGTAGAATTTATTATGCTTCAGCTGATGTTAAAAAAAAAAGCAGGGGTAGCAATTATGATTTCAGACAAAACAAAAGCAAAAATAGGTATAATCAAAAAGGATGAGCAGGAAAATTACATTTTGCAAAAAGATACTATGGACAATGAAGTAATGTTAATACTAAATATATATACATACATATATACATACATATATGTATGTGTGTATGTATACACACATACACACACCAAATGGTATAACATCCAAATTCTTAAAAGAAAAGTTAAATGAGTTACAGGAGGAAATAGTAAAACTATACTAGTGAGAAACCTCAACTTTCCTCTCTCAGAACTAGATAAATCTAACCAAAAAAATAAACAAAAAAGAAGCTAAGGAGATGAACAGAATTTTTAAAAAGTTAGATATGATAGACTTCTGGAGAAAACTGGATGGGAATAGAAAGGAATATACCTTTTTCTCAGTGGTACATGGCATCTACACAAAAATTGACCATGTATTAGGGCATAAAAACCTCACAACCAAAAGCAGAAAAACAAAAATATTAAATGCGACCTTTCCAGATCATAAATTAATAAAAATTACATTCAATAAAGGGTCATGGAAACACAGATTAAAACTTAATTGGAAACTAAATAATTTAATCCTAAAAAATGAATGGGTCAAAGAATAAATCATAGAAACAATAATTTCATTAAAGAGACAACATAACAAAATTAAAGGGATGCAGCTAAAGCAGTACTGAAGGGAAATTTGATATTTCTAAACACTTATATGAATAAAATAGAGAAAAAGCAGGTTAATGAATTGGACATGCAAATTAAAAAAACTAGAAAAAGAACAAATTAAAAATCTCCAAATAAACACCAAATTGGAAATCCTGAAAATTAAAGGAGATATTAATAACATTTAATAAAATTAAAAGTAAGAAACTATCGAACAAATGAAACTAGTAGGTGGTTTTTTTTTAAACAATAAAATAGATAAACCATTGGTTAAAAAAAACCATTGGTTTAAAAAAAGAAATTACCGCATCAAAAAGGAAAAAGACAAATTCACCACCAAAGAAGAGGAAATTGAAGCAATTATTAGGAGCTATTTTGCCCATTTATATGCCAATAAATCTAATAGTTTAAGTGAAATAAATGAATATTTACAAAAATATAAACTGCCCAGATTAACAGAAGAGGAAATAGAATACTTAAATAAACTTATCTTAGAAAAAGAAATTGAACAAGCCATGAATGGGCTCCCTAAGAAGAAATCCCCAGGGCCAGATGGATTCACAAGTAAATGCTACCAGACATTTAAAGAACAAATAATTCCAATACTACATAAACTATTTGGAAAAAAGTCAAAGATGTAGTCTTAACAAATTCCATTTTATGACACAAATATAATGCTTATACCTAAACCAGAGAAATAAAACTATGGACCAATTTTCCTAATAAATATTGATGAAAAAACTTATATAGCAATATATCACAAAGATCATGCATTATGATCAGATAAGATTTATACTAAGAATGTAGGGTTGGTTCAAAATTAGGAAAACTACCAGCTTAATTGACCATATCAATAACAAAACTAACAAAAATCATATGATCATCTCAATAGATGCAGATAAAATTTTTTGACAAAATACAACACTAATTTCTTTTAAAAACACTACAGATCATAGGAATAAATGGGTTCCTTAAAATGATAAGTAATATATATCTAAAATCATCAGTAAGCAAGCATTATCTTTTTTTTCTTTTGAGTTGGGCAATGGGGGTTAAGTAACTTGCCCAGGGTCACACAGCTAGTAAGTGTTATGTGTCTGAGGCTGGATTTGAACTCAGGTCCTCCTGCATCCAGGACTGGTGCTCTATCCACTGTGCTGCCTAGCTGCCCCCAAGCAAGCATTATCTTTAATGGGGGTAAGCTAGAAGCCATTCCAATAAGATCAGGGGTGAAGCAATGATGCCTATCATCACCACTATTATTTATTGTACTAGAAATGTTACCTATAACAACAAGAGAAGGAAAAAGAAATGGAAGGAATTTGAATAGATGATGAAGAAACAAAAGTGTCACTCTTTGTTAATGATATGATGGTATACTTAGAGAATCAACTAAAAAAACTAGATGAAATGGTTAAGAACTTCAGCAAAACTATAGGATATAAAATAAACCTACACAAATTATCAACATTTCTCTATATTATCAACACAGTCCAGCAGCAAGAGACAGAAAGATAAATTCTATTTAAAGTAACTGCAGACAATATAAAATACTTGGGAGTATACCTGCCAAGACAAACCGAGGAACTATTACAACACAATTACAAAACACTTTTCATACAAATAAAGTCAGAGCTAAACAATTGGAGAAATAGTAATTGCTCATAGGTAGGCCAAAATAATGTAATAAAATGACAATTTTACTTAAAATTTATTTATTCAGTAACATAACAGTCAAACGACTAAAAATTATTTTATATAGCTAGAAAAAAATCATCTGGAAGAATAAAAGGTCAAGAATATCAAGGGAATCGATGAAAAAAATGTGGATGAAGGTGGCCAAGAAATACCAGATATTAAATTGCATTACACAGAAAGAGGTAATCATCAAAACAATCTGGTACTGTCTAAGAAATAGAGTGGTAGATCAGTGGAATAGATTAGGTACATATCATATAGTAGTAAATGACCATAGTAATCTAATGTTTGATAAACCCCCAAATCCAAGCTTTTGGGGTAAGAACTCAAGATGTAACAAAAATTGCCAAGAAAACTAGAAAGCAGTTTGGCAGAAACTAGGTATAAACCAACATCTTACACCATATACCAAAGTAAGGTCAAAATGGTTAAATGATTTAGCATAAAGGGTGATATCATAAGCAAATTAGTGGATCATGGACTATTTGACCTGTTATATCTATGGAAAAGGGAAAAATTTATGACCAAGCAGGAGGTAGAGAGCATTATGGGATTTAACATGGATAATTTTGATTACATTAAATTATAAAGGTTTTGCACAAACAAAACCAATACAGACAAGATTAGAAGGAAAGCAGAAAAGTGAGGAAAAATTTATAGCAATTTTCTTTGATAAGGCCTCATTTCTCAAATATATAGAGAATGGAGTCAAATTTATAAGGATACAATTCATTCCTCAATTGATAAAGAATATGAACAGAAAGTTTTCAGACAAGGAAATCAAAACTATCTACAGTCATATGCAAAAAATGCTTTAAATCACTATTGATTAGAGAAATGTCAATTAAAACAACTCTGAGGTACCATCTCATGCCTGTAAGATTGGATACTATGACAAAAAAAGGAAAATGACACATGTTGGAAAGGATGTGATGAAATTGGGACACTAATGCACTTTTGGTGGAGTTGTGAACTGATCTAACTGTTTTGGAGAGGAACTATGTTTGAAGGGCTATAAAATTGTGTGCACCTTTTAATCCACTAATACCACTACAAGGTCTGTATCCCAAAGAGATTTAAAAAAAGGAAAAAGGACTCATATGTACAAAAATATTTATAGCAGCTCTTATTTTGTGGTGGCAAAGGATTGGAAATTGAGAGGATGTCCATCAATTGGGGAAGGGCTGAACAAGTTGTGGTATATGATTGTAGTGGAATACTATCGTTCTATAAGAAATAATGAGCAGGATTGCTTCAGAAAAACCTGGGAAAACTTATATGAACTGATGCTAAGTGAAGTGAGAAGAACCAGGAGAACATTGTGCACAGTAACAGCAATATTGTAGATGATCAACTGTGAATGACTTTGCTATTATCAGCAATACAATGATCCAAGACAATTCTGAAGGACTTATGATGAAAGGTGCTGTCCATCTCTAGAGAAAGAAGTGATGGAATCCAAATGCAGATTGAAATATACTTAAAGAAACTTAAAAAAAATTTTCTCGTCTTTTTTTTTTGGTCTGTGTTTCCTTTTACAAAATATATTTTTGCATGACTGCACATGTATAATCTGTGTATCAAATTACTTGCCCTCTCAAGGAGAGGAAGGAAAGAAAGGAAGAGAGAGAATTTGGAACTCAAAATTTTAAAAATGAATATTAAAAATTGCTTTTACATGTAATTAAAACATAAAAATTTAATTAAAAAAAATACATTCCAACACAAAGATTCTATGAGTCTGTGGATCAAACAAGTTTTGGTGTGAGGTAGAAAGAAAGGGAAATTTATTTCCTCTTTAGAATACTTTGTTTTCATTCTCTTACTTCTAAACAGATACTCTTTATTTTCATAACAGAATTTCCTCCTCAGAACTTCCCTGCCCCCATGAATTCATAGGTCCAGACCAAAATAAAACAAGAACAAAGATTTTAAGGCTACAAAAGGCCTTAGTAGTCTAGTCTTTCACCAAGTGTGACAGAAATCTCACCTTTACCAGCCTGAATTAATTCTCAGAGCACCTCTACTTGAGCACTTCTGTCTTACTGCCTCAATCCAATCCAATCCAGTCTAATTCATTTCAATAAATAGATATTGTGTTAGGCACTGTCCAAATGGCAGCCTTTTCGATTATTGGACATTGCTGAGTTGAAATTCCCTTTCCTTTAACTTCTAGCTAGAGCACTGGGCCTGGAGTTGGGAAGATCTGAGTTCAAATCTAGTCTCATTCATTTACTAGCTATGTGACCCTGGGCAAGTCACTTAACTCTGCCTCAGTTTCCTTACCTGTAAAATTAGCTGGAGAAGGAAATGTATCTTTGTCATGAAGAGTCAGAGTCAACTGAAATGACTGAATGAAAAACCAATAATGGGATGTCTTTGCTCTTTGGCATGATAGAAAGCTTGCTGACAGCTGGCATGTCTCCCCTCAGTCTCCTTTTCTACAGTCCAAATACATAGTATTTTTTTTTTTGCTTTTTTTTGGTGAGGCAATTGAGGTTAAGTGACTTGCCCAAGGTCACACAGCTAGTGAGTATAATTTTAACTGTCCCTTATATTCCAAGATCCCCCAGTCTCTTCCTATGCTCTTTACATTCTCTGGACACACTTTATTTAGTCTTATTGAAACCATCTTAAAGAACTAGACACAGTAATCCTGAGGGTTGGTCTGTTTAGTGTATTGAGGATAGCATGCTTTCTATAATCTTAATATTTTGTATCAACTAATGCAGTATTCACATTAAACTGTCTCCTTATATTAAGATCCTCCTTCTTTTCTTTCTCCTTAATACTTCTTTCTAGGGAGGAATATACGATAGAGGAAAGGTGGGGGAATTAAAAAAAAGGGACTATACCTGTTCCTTGTGTGTTTTACACTTAACCTAGATCCAAAGTGAGTCTTACCTGTAAAGACCATGGATCTATAGAACTCCTTCTTTAATAAGTTTAGGACTTGTCGAACTCCCTCTTCACCCTATTCCCAAACGGAGAGAATTGTGAGGCAATATTTTTGAGCATTTTGAACATATGATACGATTGACCAAAGAGTTTGTCTTCAAATATGATCTTATATTCTAGGAGAGTTGGAATAAGTCACTTAATGGATTGTGGTTGTGGTTTGTCCTTTATTCTTGAAGAGGACTGTGACATCAGGAATATGATGAATACAGGCAACTCCCTACTCCCATCCCCACCCTTTTCTCCAGAGAAGTGCTTCACCTGAGATTCAGAAAGGGTTTTTTCTTCCAAATGTATCAACTAACTTGGAAAATAATTGCTTCAAATCATTAGCTCGCAAACAGGCAGCTGTTTCTATCCCATTCTCAATCTTCCAATCCATTTTACCACTTACCAAGTCAGTCAGTCATTCAGTAAGCATTTATTGAGTGACTACTATATGCTAAGTGCTGGGGATAGGGAAAGATAAAAGAGAGTTCCTGTTCTCATGGAACTTACAGTCTAATGAGGGAGATTTTAGCTAGGACTTTAAGGAAGATAGGGAAGTCAGGAGGCAGAGATGAGGGCAAAGAACACTCTAGGTATGGGGCACAGCTAGTGAAAATGCCCAGAGTTGCCCATCAATTGGGGAATGGCTGAACAAGCTGTGGTATATGAATGTAATAGAATCTTACTGTGTAATAAGAAATCGAGTGGGCAGATTTCAGAAAAATCTAGAAAGACTTGTATAAACTAATGCAAAGTGAAATGAGCAGAACCAGGAAAACAATGTACATGGTATCAGCAGCACCGTGTGATGACCAGCTAGGAATGACTTAACTCTTCTCAGCAACACTATGATTCAAGATAAGTACAAAGGGCTCATGATGGAAAATGTTATCCATGTCCAGATAAAGAACTGATGGACTCTGAGTGCAGATTGAAGCCTACTTTTTACACTTACATTTTTTTGTGTTTTTTTTTTCATTTTGATCTGTTTCTACTTTCACAACTGTGAGTAATATGGAAATGCTTTATATAATTGTACATATATATCAAATTGCCTACCATTTTAGAAAGAGGGGTGGGAGAAAGGGAGAAAATTTGGAATTCAAAATCTTGTAAAAATGAATGCTAAAAATTGTTTTGACATATAATTGGGAAAAATAAAATACTATAAAAAAAGAAAATGTCCAGAGTTGAGAGTTGGAGGGTCTTATTTGAGAAATGACCATGAGGACAGTGCACTGGATCACAGAGTGTGCAGTGGAGGGGTGTATGGTGTAAGAAGATAGGGGGAAGGTTATAAAGGACTTCGAATGACAGAAGATTTTATATTTGATTCTGGAGGTTATAGGAGAAGGTGGTGATGGTGGTCAGATCTACCTTCTAAGAAGATCTCTTTGATAACTGAGTAGAGAATGGACTAGAGAGGGGAGAGATTTGTGGCGGGGAGATAAGTAATAGTAAATGACAATTATGTGATGCTTTAAATTTTGCGAAGTACTTTACATACATTGTCTCAGTGGGTAACTAACTAATATATAAACATTAAGCCTATGATATATGTATTAGAAATCATTACACCCATTTTACAGATGAATTAACTGAAGCCCAGAGAGGCTAAGTGACCTGCCTATGGTTACAAAGCTAGTAAGTGTCAGAGGTGGAATTTGAACCAAGGTTTTCCTGATGGAGTCTAGAGACCAAACATGACACAATGAACCTTAAAATCTGCCCATCAGGTTATGGGGAAGGTATACCCAAACCTTGTAGAATTATCTAGTAGAAGGACCGAAAAAAATATTCAAGGAATTAACGTGTAGGACTTAAGGATGCTAGGACTTGGTGTAATTACGCAGAAAGAAGTGTGGAATGGAGAAGCTGAAATCAGTAGATGCTAAGTGACACAGTGTTAGCCAAACATTGAATTACAGGGAACAGTGTGGTGGAGTGTATTATGTGCTAGATATGGAGTCAGGAGACATCTGGCTTTGATTCTCAACTCTGATATTTACTAATCCTGGAAGGATGGAGAAGCCACTTGACTCTCTGGACTCCTTGCTGCTCCTCACACAAGACACTCCTCATCTCCCAGATTGGGACATTTTTGCTGGCTGTCCTCCATGTCTAGAATGCTTTTCCTTCTCATCTCCACCTCCTTGGTTCCCTGGTTTTCTCCAGGTCCCAGCTAAAATCCCACCTTCTCCAGGAAGCCCTTCTTGATCTACTTTAATTCTGGTTCCTTTCCTCTATTAATTATTACTCAATTTATCCGGTCTATATCTTGTTTGTACATAATTGTTTGCATGTAGTTTCCCCATATTAATCTATGAAAGAAATAATCCCCAGTTAAGCTCGTATTGATCATCCTGATGATTTATTTTTAGCTTATTAGGCCCAATTCAGATAGCTTTTAGAATAAGAGATATCTCTTATTAAGTAATCACTGCAGTAAAATATTAAGCTCATCATTTCAGTAGAGCTGAACTCATGCACAGCTGAGCTGAGCTCCTGCAGAGCTGAGCTGCCATGGCCAGTTTGATGATTGTCGCGCCCCTGAAATGCCTTGTTATGCCCCCAGCATGTCCAGCAGCCCAATATTTCGAATCAACCTACTTCCCTGTTCTTGTTATGCTTCCCTATTCCTGTAAATGTTATGAATAATCATTAATGTCATGAATATGTATTAATTTCATGAATGTAGTTTCTTTTTTTGCTAGTATAAAAACAATCTCTGTGAAGTCCTAGTTTGTTTTTGACTACTGAGGAGTCGTTGACCTCACTTAATGTCAATTCCTTGCTTTGCTAATAAATTGACCACCCTCAGAACTTTTTGCCTCAGTCTCTCTTTATCACAGATTTCTATCTTAACAACTGAGAATAAGTTGAGTTTTTGGGAAAAAAAACAACAGACAATGAAAGGGGCTTTTAAAAGTACTATTGGTGTATTAAGGAAAAGGAAAGGATAAGTTTTCTATCAAGGAGGATAATTTGGAAATGGTAGAAGATATTAAATGTTTGACTCATGTGAAATCTCTGAAGTCCCTTCCAGCTTTATTATGCAATTTTTTGATTTGGTGAGAAGTGAAGAGACAATTTTAGGGATCCCATAATCTCTGGGTCCTGTGAGCTCTGGCTTATCCTAGTACTATCTACTCCTTGTTGTTATGGAGGAAAGCAGGCATGCCAAACAGTATTTGTTATCGAGCCAGGAAGAGTCACCAACATTTAGAAAGGATATTAAGAAGCTTATTTCTTGGGTATCCCTAAACTGATCAATGAGCAAGTGTTTATTGGGAGCCTTCTGTGGGGAATTTAAAGAAGCGTATGAGGTCTCTGCTTCAAGGACCATGTGATCTATTTGAAGCAATAGAACATAAAATGATAAATGGTAACACAACATACCTTGAGGGAAGTTCTAAATGAGTAGGACAGATAATTAATGTTGCTGAACTTTAGAGAAAAGGGAGGTCTATTCTAGTTGGGGTTGTCAGGGAGGGCTCCTTGGAGGAAATGAAGCTTGAGTTGGGCCTTGAAGGACAGGTATGATTGAGCTGGGCAGAAAGGGAAGGAAAAGACATTCCAAGTAGAGGAAGGGCTTGAGACAGATGCATGGAGACAGAAATTCATGAGGCTTGTTCAGAGGACAGGGAGTAAAAATGGTGGCTGGAAATGAGAGTTTATGATATTAGAAACCGCTCCCAATCTGTCCCCTGTATACCTTTCCATTTTTTATTTCATATCACTCCACATTAGGCACTCTACATCCTAGTCAAACTGGACCATCAGCTGTTCTTCAGACTCAACATTCCATACCCCACTTTGGTGCATTGCCCAAGTCACTTCTCCTACCTTGAATGCAATCTCTCCCTTCAAGATTAAGCTCAGACACCAAGACTTTTTTTTTCTTTTTTAAAATTTTTTTTTAATGAGGCAATCAGGGTTAAGTGACTTGCCCAAGGTCACACAGCTAGTACGTATCAAGTGTTTGGTCTGAGGTCGGATTTGAACTCAGGTCCTCCTGACTTCAGGGCCAGTGCTCTATCCACTGTGCCACCTAGCTGCCCCAGACACGAAGACTTTTGTGAAACCTCCCTGGTCTCTCCAATTAAAATCTAAAGTTCTTAAGAGTAAGGATTGTTTCATTCTTTGTATTTGTATCTTCAAAGCCTAGCTCAATACCTAACACACAGCAAGTTATTAATAAATACTTGCTAATCAATTAGGTGATTGATTCTTTGATTGTCCAGTTATTGATGATCTCTCTTCAAATTATCTGTGCTTTTATTTATCTGTATACATATTACATCCACTATCTTCCCTCTCCACCCACCAGAATATAAAATCCTTGAGAGAATACAATTTCAATTTTTTTAATTTTATACTCCCTGGGTCTAGCAGTCAGTGCCTTGTTTGTTGAATTAAATTGAATGGAATGGAATGTAGGAAGTAGTGGGAGATAAGACTGGAACCAATTTGTGAGGACCGTAGGTGTCAATTCAAGCAGACTCAGAACATTGGTCTGAGAACTAAGAGATCCTGCCTATGGACAAGCTCTGTGAATTTGGGAAAGTCACTTAACCTCTTTGGGAACTCTATTCCCTCATCTATAAAATGAACAATTGGATTATAATCTCCAAGATCCCTCCTAGCTTGGCCATCCAAGAGTTGTGTGATTCTATTAGGTTTTCCAAAGAATATGATCCAGTTGGAGAATTCTAATAGGATTTGCTGTGAGCAGTGTTGTGGGACCAAGGAAGGATTTTGCAGAGATTTCAGGCCTGGATTAACTTCCCACACTCCAGAAAGAATAATGAGGCAATGAAATATGATGAGTGGAAAGAAATAAGACTTGTTCTACTTGGCCTTGGAGGGTAGAACTAAGACCAAGGTATAGACTAGATTTTAGTTTGATATAAATGCGGCATATCCAGAAAGAGCACTGGATTTGCTCTGAGTCCAAAGAGCTGGGTCCAAATTTCGGCTCTGCCATTTATTAGCTGAATGGCCTTGAATAAGTCATTCAATCTCTCTAGGTCTCAGTTTCCGTGTATCTAAATTGAGACGACCTCAGAGTTCCCATTCTGGGTCTAGATCTGGGCACCCTACTTTTTGGGAAGTGTCTCAAACAGATGAGTGAGTTGCTGTATTTTTACCTGATGTGTTCCTCTCTATTACCTCACCTTGTAAGTGAGACCCCACAGGATTGGCCTTCCAAGGAAGACGCACCTTGCACCAAGTGCAAGTGCCTTTAATACATCTGTCCCAGTTCGGATGCCACCATCTAAGTAGACTTCAATCCTTCCTTGCACAGCATTCACAACTTCTGTCAGGGCATCGATCTGAAAAGAAAAGTGCATATTTGTCTTTACTGCTCTTGATTCTTTCTTATTAGAGATGAGGATCTGGTGGAAAGAAGGACATCAGTGGGTAGCATCCTAGGAATATGATGACACAATCCACTGGTGGGTGCAACATTACCTAAATTAATTTTGCCTTTCACTACCATACCAGCCAAACTACCAAAGGCTTTCTTGATATGCTAGGAAAAATTTTAAAACAAAATTCACACAGAGCAACAAAAACTTAAGAATATCGAGAGAAATAATGGATAAAAGAGCTACATCAATAAAAGAAAAATCCAGAGGTTTTACCTCATATCTAGCAAACTGGCAAAGATGACGAAAGGTAGAAATAGTCACTGTTGGAGTTCCTGTGTGAAGACAGGCACAGCAATACGCTGTTGGCAGGACTATGAACTGGTCCAACTATTCTAGAAATCAATGTGAAATTAGGTTTAAAAATCACTAAAATGTTGATACCTTTGACCTGGGGTTCTTACTAGTAGGCATATGCCCTGAGGCAGTCAAAAACAAAAAGAAAGGTTTCATATATAACAAAATATTCTTAGCAAAACTTTTTTGTGGTAACAAAGAATCAAAAACAAAACAGTTGACAATTGATTGGGAAATGGCTAAAAAAAATCTAGTCCATGAATATAAGAGAACTAGAATAAAAAATGATATATATGAAGAATTCAGAGAAACATCGGAAGATTATGAATTGATGCTCGGTGAAGCAACCAGAATCACGAAAACTAGGTACACAATGACAAAAAAAATGTAAAGTGAAAGAACAATAAATCAAAATTGAACACTGTGATCACATAGTGATTAAATTTGACTCTGGAGAGTAGTTGAGAAAATTCACTACCCCCCCTCCATTTTAGAGGTGGAGGGGCCGCGGATGTAGAAAACTGCATATCCTGTCAGACACAGCAATGGCTAGTTTTTTTTGTCTCTATTTTAAAATATTTGCCATGAGGGATAGTTCGATGGATAGGGAAAGGGGAATGGAAATATTCAGAAATGAACGAGATATAAAAACAAGAGATATACATTAAAAAAAAAAAGAAATATTCCACTGCAATGTGGACACATGGCCTGGGGAAGAATCATGTATTCTCAGTCTTAGAATTTTGAATTTATTTTTGAACTTTATTAGTGATTGGTTATAGCTCCTAAAAATAGGACAAAAACAGACATAGGAAGTGTTTTGAAACATAGAGGAAATAGGTGAAGACATAGAGATGTATGTGCACAGAGGCTGTACTTAACATACAAACAGTCAGAGACATGTATGCATAACCCTGGAGTTAGTAAACTTACTGTGGCTGGAACTGTATCCAGCTGTCTTCCACCATGGTTGGAGACAAGAATGCCCTGCACATTGTGGCTTATGGCCAGTTCAGCATCCTCCCTTGTTAAAATCCCTTTCAGGATGATGGGCATTTGGGTGATGCTCTTTAGCCAGGCAATGTCTTTCCAGGAGGTAGATGAATCAATGCTTGAGACTGAGAGGAGGGACTCTGAATTTTCCTTAAGTGGGACAGAAGGAAACACGTTGTTGTGGACCATGTTTTTGTACTAAAAATACCAGATAAAAGCTTTTGCTGTAGGTACCAACCTCCTGAATCAGGCTTACAATGGACAGTTAGTCCTACTAACAAGGTTCCCTAGTGATTGGACTTTCTTGCCTTCCCAGTCTGGATACACAAATAGTATTCTGTTCACTTACTGGCATCACAACCCTGCTTCTTACCTTCAGGATCAAATATAGAGTCCTTCACAACATGGCTCATTCTTACCTCATAATCCTTTTATACTTCGCTCCCCCACCTACCCCCATACTCTATTATCCAGCAGTACTGACTTAATACCTGTTCCCCACATGTGACCCCTTATCTCTTGACTCTGTGTCTCTCTCTGTCTCCGTCTCTGTCTCTGTCTGTCTCTTTCTCTCTTCATTCTCCCTATTTTCCATTCCTTTTTGCTTCTCCATCTAAAACCAGAAGGGACCAAAAAGGGCAGCACACACTTTTGGGAAGCCATATTTCGCTAAAGCTTTAGGTGGTACTGTAGGGGTGGAGGCATCTAGATGGCTCAATGAATAGAACACTGAGCCTGGACTCAGGAAGACCTGAGTTCAAATCTAGATTCAGACACTTACTGGCTACATGTCACTTAACCACTCTGTGCCTCAGTTTCTTCAACTGTAAAATAGGACAATAGTATCACCTGCCTTCCAGGGTTGTTGTGAAGATAAAATTAGGTAATTTTTGTAAAGCGTAATGCCTTGTACATAGTATGCATTTAATAAATACCTGTTCCTCTTCCCGTATATACTTAAAATTGTCTCCCCAGTAGAAGAGCAGGAACTGAGAATAAGTAGCATGGGGAGAGTGTTGAACTTGGGAGAAAAGAAGACCCAATTTCAAATCTGCTTCAGACACTTAATAGCTAGCTGTGTGACCCTGGGCAAGTCATCTGTAAAATGGAGCTTCTAATAACAGCACCTACCTCATAGGATTGTTGTGAAAATCAAAAGATGAGTTATATGTAAATCACTTTGCAAACCTTAAATCTTCTAAAAATGTTAGTCTAGGGGATGAGTTAGTGTAGGTCGTATGTCTATGTCCACATGGGTTGCCTGCATGTGGCTCTCGGGGAGGCTTTGATAGACATCTCAGGAATCTTGCCCACTCCTCACCAAGGGACAATTTGATTCCTTCCTGGAGATGACCACTCAAGGGCACCATGAGGCTAGCTGTTTGAGAAGTTTGACCTATTCATCCACACAGGAAAGACAATGTAGATGAATATCCATTGCCCAGATTTCAACATTCTTTTGGATGGACACCTATAAAGTTTGCCTAACAGTATCTATATTTGGGATATGCAGCATAGACAGACAATGAACTGGGACCAGAGTTGAAAAGGAAGAGGTGAGTAGACTGTATGGCCTTTGGGACATTGTAAAGCCCTTTCACTGACCCTAAACTTCTCATAAAAACAAAGGCTCACTTTTTCAATATTAATACTTCATTAGTGTTGCTATATGGCAGCAAAATATAGACTATAACTCCCTCCAAACACCTAAAAACAAATATCACCCTTGGGACATTAGAGACATATGTCATGGTGGATGTGAGCATTTGGAAATATATGACCAATGAGGAACTCTGGAGAAGGAGTAGAAGATGGCCAATTGGCAAGATTGAAGGGAGACAAATGGACAGCCAGAGGGGCTTTACCCATGATATTGTGATGTTTGGAGAAAGTAAGGAGGTGAGGAAGCCCTCTAGTACTTTGAATGAACTTTTAGAAGACTATAGTTATGAGTTGTATAGGACGTCCCCTGTAGCCCTCAGTTCTTTCCCAGGCCATCATTCCTGCACTGGCTATATTCTTCTCCTCTCTTCATCTTGACCCCTTGATACAATAAAATACTGAGTCCACTAAAAACATAAGTTACATAATCTCAACTGGGCCCTCACTGCTGCCAGGCAATCCTTCCACACCTCCCTAATTGATTCAATATCCCTCTTACCCATAACAGCATTTCCAAATCTTTTCATCTCTCCTCAAACTTCCCATGGCTCTTCCTCATCCCACATTCTCAGCTGAGAAACTTGCTTCATATTTACTGAGGCCTCTTGCCAAGTCTGCCCTTTTGGCAAATGCTTGTTGACTTGATATTTATAGGGCAGTAGTAGTCATGGAGGGTAGTTTTGCTTTGAAAGTTATAGGAATGTTAGGAGAGCCACAGAAGAATAGATTGATACACCTTCTCCAGGAGCATGGTAGTGATGATTTGATTATAGCTCTTGAACTAGAAAGAGACAGAGAGCAGAAAATACAGGTGTGGCAGCAAGGAGTTGATGAGAAGATATACAGGGAGTAAAATGAAGCATGGCCAGAGCCCTCCTAGATATGGGGGGCCCACATATGAGCTACTCCCTCAGAGAGTCAGTCAGTTGCTCAATCAATTAACCTTTATTAGTCACCTGCTATATGCCAGGTACTATACCAAATGCTGGGATTACAAAAGAAGGCAAAAGATAGTCCCTGCCCTCAGGGAGCTCACAGTCTCATGGGGTAGACCACATATAGACAAATACGTACAAACAAGCTATAGATATAGTAAATGAAAGACAACCACAGAGGGAAAGCACTGGAATTAAGGGAATTAGGAAAAGCTTCTTGCAGAAGGTGAGACTTTAGCTGAGGCTTGAAGGAAGCCTGGGGACAGTGGTAAGGAGGGAAAGAATTTCAGGAATGGGGAACTGCCAGTGAAAATTTCCAGAATGTGGAGATGAAGTGTCTTGTTTGAGAAACAGCTCATGTTCTAATGGGGGAGACAGCATGAACATATCTAAGTATGTATATGATGTGTACAAAATGAAAACATGGCAGTTTTGGGATGTAGGGAATTAGTGGGCAGGGGTCAGAAAAGTTTTCATATAGAAAGAAGATGGTATTTGAACAAATCTTAAAGAAAACCAGGAATTCTGGTAAGACATTGAGTGTGTTTGTTGTAAAAGGGATTTTTCTATGGTATAGGTTAGACCAGATCGTCACTGGAGGACAGTTCTCCCAACTCTGAAATTCATGCAGGTTCCAGGTACACCACTTCAATAATCCTAATTTCATTATTACATAATGTCTACTTTCCCTTCAACTGTGTACATCACACTTCCTCGGAGACCCTTCCTGGTCCTTGGTGACCAAAGGACAACAATGAAACAGTGCACTCCAAGTCTAGCTGACAACTCCACAGGTACTGAATCAAAGATCTGAGCATTTCATCCTGCTACCACAGGTGCCCAATTATTGCAAAAGTCTCATAAAATTGCAAAACTAAGAAACACCAGTATCACCAGAAGCAACTCTGCCTTTATGACCTCTTTTTTCTCCTTAGGAAACCCTGTCTTGTAGAACCATAGACTCTTTGGAGGTCATCTAGTCTAACATTCCATCCAATTCAATCCCTTCTGGGACATGTCAGAAGAGTTGTTCAGTTTCTGCTTGAACACATTCTCCTCTCTACTCTTCACCTGTTCTGCCTCTAGAAACAGTGAACTCTTTCATGAGGTAGCCTATTCTGCTGGTCAAGCTCGTAAATGTTTGCAAGTTTGTTCTCCTATTGAGTGAAATATGCTTTCTTGTAACATTCACCCATTGGTCCTGACCCCTCCCTACCATGAAGTATTCCCCATACCTCAATAGGCACATGTATGTTTTTCGTGGACAATAATGCTGGAAAAGAGAATCTGTTGCGATTATCTTGCAATCTGTTGCCCAAAGCAGGAGTGTCTACAGTGAGGACTAGAGCTTTGTAGCCTAAGCTTTCCACTTTCTGTATCAGCTTCTTTGTTATTTTCCTGTCCCGTTGTACATATAGTTGAATCCATCGGAGGCCATTGGGTGCACCAGCCACGATGTCGTCATAGAAGCATGAGGAATAAGTACTGGTAACATAGCAGATATTCATGGCTTCTGCTGCTGCAAGAGAAAAATCAATATAAGAAATGAATTGGAAAAGAGGGCATAGGAATCCTGGCTTGGAAGTGGGAAGCCCTTAGTATAGAGTTAAGTCTCTGACCACAGTTTGTGGTGTAATTTGAGATAAGTCATTTGGCCTTTCTGCCTCAGTTTCTTTCTATGTCAAGGAAGGTATTTGGATGTAGATGCAGGAATTCAGGACAAAAGTCACCAGTTCCATTTAGCCCTTCCAATGTGCTGAAGTGATGAATCTGAATGGTTATGGTTGTAGCAGTGAGGGGACTTAACAGGATTGGAAGGGAATTGACTCCTGCTGACTCACATATCAAACAGGCTTGAGTGAATTCCCTTAGAAGAGAAAGAGAAGCAGGCAAAAAGACAGATGTGACATAAGGCAGAGGTGACAAACAGGTAGCCTACAAAACTTCCCTATTTGTCTAACCAGATTAAAATGTAATTGGGAAATTTTAAACAAACTAAATAAAAATATAATACAACATAGATAATTGTGGTTTTCTAAGTCAACATGCTTCCTACAGGGATCCATTTCTATTTGAGTTTGATATCACTGACCTAAGGGGCTCACTAAGGGTAGCTATAGGTATTATGCATAAAGGAGCTGACCTAGTTTTGAGAATTGACTCACAAAAGGGATGTAGATATTCCCTGTGGAAAAGTAGCCTAATCATAATTCAAGGGAGAAACAGCAGCTAGGATAAGCAAGTTAATGGAGAAAAAGAAGATAGACAAAAACATTCTGTGATTCTGTCAAAGCAGTTCAGCGGAGAAAGTAGCCCAGCATATGACATCAGCAGTTTTGAGGGCAGAGAGGAGTTCCAGCTAAGATGCAAGCCAAGGAGTGTGAGTTATCTGAGCTACTGGTGTTCCCTTTCCCATTGATGTCACAAAAATCTATAGGACAGTGAATCCCTGAATGTATGGGGAGTTTTTTGGTATTGACCTTGATAGTCTGTTTAATTAATATTTTTGTTTTTAAGTCAATGTGCCCTTTTCCTTGATCTTGAGAAAAGAAAGAATTGAATGACACAAAATGTAGGTTTTGAAATGATACTGATCCAAAGGGGATCTTGAATGTTGAGTATAGTTTTTCAGGGGTCACACTCATGGATCCCCCCAGGCTACCAGTGTTTTTGCCACCAATTTGAGGGAGGTGATAGTGGAGAGATAAACCCATCATGGAAGACACTGAGTAAGAGATGGATGAAAAGGAACAAAATAAGTATAGAAGAAAACAGTTGGTATCAACTAGAGAATGTTTATAAGCAGCTGTCAGAAAGTCTGAGATAAAATCAGGAAATAACAGAACACTGAGGGTAGCAATAGTTGGGGATAGGGAAAGCAATTCCAGACTCAGGGAAAGCAATTCCAGACTCAGGAAAAGCCAGAGTCAAGATCAGTGCCCAAGGGCAGGATACTGGCATATTAAAGCCAGGGAATGGGGAATGAAGTGGGATAAGCTAGTCATAGCACATTAATTTGACAAGGGTTAGACCAGCTGCCTCCTTTGGAAGTTAAAGTAGGAAGACAGATTTTGAGGTATGATTTTTAAAAACAATTTTAAAATAAGTTTAAATAAATAATTTTAAAAATAATAATTTTAAGATAATTTTTTTAAATGCAGAGAACAGAAGGCCAGAAAGAAGCATAGACAAATAGGACAGCTTTGAAAGCTACAGGTTGAACTTATTATATATTTAAAAAGAAAAGTAAGCTTTACCGAATCAAAATCTTCAATTTCAAACTTCAAACACAATCTATCTCTCTGTCTCTCAGTCTCTGTCTCTGTCTGTCTGTCTGTCTGTCTGTCTCTCTCTCTCATACACACACACAGAGTTAGGTAGTTCAGTGAATTGAGCACTGGGCTTGGAATCAGGAAGATGAATTCAGATCTGGTCTGAAACATTTAGTAGCTGGTTGACTCTGAGCATGTCATTTGACATCTATCTGACTCAGTTTCCTCAACTATAAAATGGGGATAGTAATAGCACCTACCTCCAAGGGTATTGTGAGGATTAAAATGATATAATATTTACAAAACACTTAGCACAGTGCCTGACATATAGTAGGCACTTAATCAATGCTTGTTTCTTTCCTTTCTGTTCTAGTATGTATATGGAAATGACCATTGTATTTGGTGTTCGTTACTTTTGGAATAAGAACAAAATGTTAACAAACGACATAAAGAGCCTGATAATTACGTGCAACCAATCACTCAGGGAGCTATGTGGAAACTGATAGTTCTCCCAATAATGATTGTTATTTGCTTAGCCTAAAGCCAGTGGATTATTGCTCAACCCAAACTTTTGTTTGCCTGTGGAGGTGTGGTTGGAAAGCAGTCATTCTAAAAATGAATTTGCTGTTTTAGGGCATTGCAAGTCCCATATGGGTCAGCAATGAGACACAGTAGCCCTGAAAAAGCACATAATCTTGAGCTGCATTGAGAGGCAGAGGTTCTAGGAGTAGAAGGTCTCTCCGCAGTCTGCCTCAGAGAGTGTCCAGAGCAGGGCAACTAGAAAGGTTAATGGCTAGGATTCATGTTCTGTGAAGATTGGTCAAAGAAACCAAGGTGAGCATGTTTATCCTGGAGAAGAGAACAGCTAAGACATGACAGCCATCTTCAAATATTTAAAGAATTGATAGGCTGCATTTGGAATACTAGCTAGCACTTATATAATGCTTTAAAGATTGAAAAGCTCTTTACATATGTTATCTCATCTACTCTTCACGACAACCGTACAATATAGATACTATTATGATGCCTGTTTGACAGATGAGGAAACTGAGGTGGAAAGAGGTGAAGTGTCTTGCCCAGGTCACATAGCTAGGAAGCGCCTGATGGAGGATTCAAACCTGGGTCCTCTTGACTCCAAGGCCAGAACTCTACCCAATGTACCACCTAACCACCTGGAAGAGGGATTAGATATTGCATACGTTTCCAGAGAGCAGAACCATGAGCAATGAGTAGAAGCTGTGAAGAAGCAAATTTAGACTGTCACAAAAGATGGTGGGTTCTCCCTCCTCGGAAGTCTTCTAGAATAGACTAGATGACCACTGTCTATGAGGTATATTTTGGTGACGATTCCTTTTAGTGAGTTGGACTAGATGAACAATGAGGTCCTTTCTAACTCAAATTCTGTGACTCATACCAGAAAAAGGCAGATTCTACACAGGAATTACATGGCTCATATTTTTTTAGAGCTGAATTTGGGGAGGCCTTGGGCTCCACTCCTTATAGCATGACTTCTCTCCAGAGCTTGATGCCTCTATGTAGACAGAAAGGAATCTTTGGGGTCAGTGAGTACCTTTAGCTGTGCTCTGTTCTCCATCAGGCCAACAAAGGCAGTGGAAACCAGTGGGTGCAATGCAGACTGGGAAGCTGATCTCAGAACCTTGGATGGTTGTCTTGGTGTCTACCACAGACATATCTCTTAGGAAGCGGGGACGGAGACGGATTCTGCAAGGCATAAACAACAAGGTTACTAACTTGGTAAATATGCTGTTGAGTCCCAGGATCTTCAGATCAGGGATTCTGAGATGAGAAGTGCTTGACTTCTGAAAGCTTGTGGGCTGGTTTTTTTTTTTTTTTTTGGGTGGGGAATACCATGCAAAGTGACATAGCACAAAGTGCTGGAGCTGGGATTTGAAGCCAGGTCTTCTGACTGTGGGCATCCCATTTTAGAAAGAATACGGCAAGGTGGAACATATTTAGAGGACAACCTGGATGGCAACAGAGCTGAGGGCTGTAATAGAAAAAGGATCGACTTAAGCAACTGGGATGTTTATCTAGAGGCAGCTACATGATGTAGTGGAGAGAGTGTTGGTGCTGGAGTCAAGAAGACCTGAGTTCAAATCCCTCCTCAGACGCTTACTAGTTCTGTGATCCTGGGCAAGTTACTTAACTTTACTTTTCTCATCTGTAAAATGGGAATGACAATAGCAACTACCTGTAAGGGTTGTTGTGAAGATACTATGAGACAATTTTGTAATGCACTTTGCAAACCTTAAAGTGCCATGTAAATGTTAGCTATAATTACTTGAAGACAGTTGTCAATGTCTTCTCTCCCTTCCTATACCTTCCTTCTTATTCTTCTCTTTTCCAAGGTAAACCTGCCCAGTTTCTTCAGCTGACCCTCATTTGTAACAGACTCAAAACCCTTTACCATCCCAATTACTGTCTCCTGGTCATCAATGTCCTTCTGAAAGTATAGTGCCTTATTTTGTCTCCTAATCTAGATTATAAACACATTGAAAGTTGGTACCAGACCATACCTTCTCCCTTTGTGTTGATTATTGTTATTATTTCCAGGAAAAACACTTGCCATACTGGTTATTATACAATGGCATTTCTTGCCCTAGTCCTCTCCAGTTTTTCAGTGTCACCTAGTCTCTTTTGTCTAGGCTTCATACTCATGTGGTCTTTCCTTCCTCTCTAATACCCCTCTCCCACAAATTTTTGAACTCTATGATAATTTAATTTAAATCTACCCCGTTTCCTTTTCCCTTATCCCTCATAATAGGTTCTTAGGGATCCAATAAAATGACAGGAGAATGGAATTGTGCTGCATGGGTTATAGAGGAAAACTTGGCTTATCCACTATGTATAACTGACCACTCTGTTCTCCTCTTGATGTATTTGCAACTCTTATGGCTAGAGATTGGAGTGGAGCCCTTTGTCATTTCCCTTCAACCTGTTATCACCAGAAACCAAAGAAGGAAGTTCTTAAGAATATAAAGGGCTGAGGCATGTACCTTCTGTATATCTAGAATATTGTGGCTGACCAATAAACCCAACATGAACAGAAAGATGCAGAAAGACAGTGACAGAGAGAGAGAGAAGAGAGTGAGAAATAGAGAGATGAGGGGAGGAAAGAGAGAAAGATTCAGAGACAGAGAGATAGAGAGAAGAGAGGAAAGAGGATGGATATACAATACCATACTTTTTATATGCTGAGATATTCTCATCTCTTGTGATGCATTCATCAGCTCCTCCTTCAATGAATTCCCAAGTGGATTTAGGAAGATTGTCTTTGGCAAATGCTTGAAAGTCAGCTAGGCATACAAAAGCCATTTTTTGGAAGAATCTTGGAAAAGGAAGAGCAGCCAAAATGCGTTAGATACAGGGCAATGAGGGAAAGGGAAATGACAGCTAAAGAAAAAAAAAAGCAATCCCTGCCTGTGTTTGCCACAATGGCCACTTTAGACTTTTGCTAACATAGAGTAAGGGACATACAAACATGTTTACATTGCTAACATAGAATAAGAAATACAATTCTGGTTATTTGGTCAGGATGCTCTTCACGTGGGTTCTGCCCATAACCGTGTGTGTCAGTTTACATTGCCAGTGAGTTGACCATGGCCATGAGGTAGCCAGGGTAGCAGACAGTGTGTTCTCTCCTGTAAGGTTGGCAGTGTAATGGAGAGAATAGGAGCACTGATGGATATGGAGAAAGAAGAGAGTTAAGTTAATGCCAAGGGAGATTTCCTGGCATCTTCTCAAAATGCTGCCATAGCTGGGGGAAATAGGTGAATGGAATGGAAAATGACCACATTGGCATATCTTTCAAGGATACTTAAGGTAGCCAATTAGTGAGAAGACTAGTCCTTCTTGGATCAAACTGGCCTTTCCTTTGTAGTGAAGAAGACCATGGTGAGATTAGTCGAGTGGATGCAGGGAAAAGACCAGTTGTGTCTGGGAGGAGTTATGCAGAGATGGTTTTCAGTGTGTTCAGTACTAAATCCTACTTCACTCATGTTTAAGTTTAGGTAAGTAGGAGTTCAAGGGTGTCTTGGGTCAAAAATTAAATTAAAACATCTATTAATAAAAATGTATCAAGTACTTATTATATGTAAAAAGACAAAAATGAAACCATCTTTGCTCTCAGAGAGTTCGAAACATATCGAAAGTTCTTACAATGTATGCTGAGTTTAGCTTAACAAAGTTTAGCTTCACCTTGACCCCTGCTCTTGTGAAGCTTACAATCAAGTTGACCTATATGACATACAGATAACCATAACACAAAACGATACGAAACACAAAATGAAGTGCATGTTAGGATGACGGCTTATGATACTGTAGAGCTTACCCCAAAAGATGCTCCAGAATTGAGGGAGGGAGCAATGAATGATGGAAGGTACAGTTAGATCCAGTCTATAGTTGTCTATTACTTACTGCAGGAGAAGGAACCATGCCCCCAAACTTGTAATGAATCCTCAAATTATACTGTCATACATATAGAATACCAAGGATGTTCTAGAAATTTGAATACAGTATGTGACAGTGAAGCAAGAAAAAGAAGGGTGTCTTTTGAAAACGAATCACTTTCCCCCCCACAACACACATATGAAGTGGTAAATAATATATCTCTATGTAAGATTCATTCAGTAATTCATTCAATTAACTTTTACTGAGAATCTATTACAAACATAGCATGTTCTAGGCATGGATAAGAAGTGTCTTGAATTAAACATGAGAAGAAGTCTGTGGTCATAGAGGTCAGAGGCGTCTTCTTAGAGGAGTTAGGATTTGAGAAGCTTGACGTGAATATGGGTAGATGAAGTGTAAGGGTGGGCAGGGGAGGTGGAATGGCATAAGCAAAGTTGTGGTGGCAGAAATATCATGACATATTGGAGGAACAGTCATTATATCTGGCTGCCTGGAAGGGATGGTAATAAATGTAAGAGAGTAGTGGAAAATACCATTTCAAAGTATAAATGTACAATTACTTCAATATTCCTGTTCTTATTTAGATCTGTGAAACTCCCTCTGCCAGGGTAAACCACAATGCCTTTAACTCTCTCTCCTCTGCAATTCTTGTCCATATCTTTCCCCAAATCAGCTTTAGTTTATTGTGACATTTAGCACTTCTGACCATGCTGTATTTTTGTACCAATACTTAGTTATCTACTGTTGTTTGATTTTACATGTGTATATGTATCATAATATAATATACATATATAATCATAATGTAACAATACAGACAGACACAAATGTAACCCTTGTCCCAAAGCTCATTGGTATGATATTCTCTCCTTATTGGTATAGTTGAAACCTTGCCCTGAATGGCAAGAGAGAAAGCTCCAGCCTTGACCAGCCTGTTTTAGGATTTTCCAAGCTTTAAGTCTGCTTCGAGCATCGAGTTGCTTTGGGTGCTTCCGGCTTCCATCTTTTAAAAAAATTATTATTCTGAACTTAAAAGATCAAACAAGCATTACCATAACAAAGTAGAATAGAAAAAAAGAGGATTGCACATGAAACTGCAAGTCTGTTATATACGATTTGCTTTTCCTTTTAAACACATAATAAAGTTATCATGTAACTTTTTTTCCTTCCTCACTGCACCCCTCCACCCCCTACCCTAGAGATGACTACCATTAGACACAGATATGTATATATATGTAAAACCATACTATGTTTCTATTTATAAGTTCTTTGGATGCAGATAGTATCTTTCTTCATTGGTCCATTGTAGTTTATTTGGGTATTTGTAATAGTCAAAATGACTTGGTCACTCAAAGTTGTTCTTAAAACAGTATTGTTATTATTGTACATAGCATTCTCTTGGTTTTGCTCGTCATGATTTCATGCAAGTCTTTCCATGTTTTTCTAAAATCATCGATGCCCATCACTTCAGGA